CTCGATGGCAAGTGCGACGCCAGGAACTTGCAAAAGAAGCGGCCTTCTCCTCTTCCGAACGCAGCGCGAAGAGAAAAATTTTCCTCCGTAAAAGTGCGCAAATTTTGGAGGGGTGCAGGGCCAATTTTTATTTTATTTTTTATTTTTTGCCCGTGGAGGGCAGAGGCGAACGAAAGATGCATCGCAGACTTTCGTGCAGTGATGCTTGGTGTTGCTTATTGATCTTTTGCGCATGTTCGCAGCGGCGCCGTTTGGGTTTCCTCGCGTTCCTCGGAAACTTCTGTCAATTTTCCGCCGATGAACGCTCCGTTTCAGTATCCACGCTTCTTCCCTAATTCTTTCTTCTAAGCGTATTCCTTGTTAAGAAAGATGGAAGTTCATCCACATGCCCATCTTTCGTACTTCCAAACTTCTGGAGCAATTTTTGGGCGTTAACCATGCTGTTTGAAACGTTAGCTCATCATCATGACCCACAAACCGCAAAACTTCTCTGCATTTTTTTTAATTGCTCACATTTTCGAAATTAAGGACTGAATACTATTTAGTACTAAAAATTTGATGGGAAATCTCTGTAAGGCCAAAAATAAAATATTTTGGAAGGAGATATACGTCTGCTGAACTGATGAAGCAAACTTCATTTTTCTGAAATGTCAATGCGTCATATAGAAGCTTGAATGTTGCAGACATTGTATGGACTTCGAGAAAAGCTCACCAAGTTACTATAATCTGGGAAGATCTCGTGGGAGCTCTTCATATGCCTCGATTTTTGTTTGCTTTAGCTTTCTCCAAATTGCAGGCTTCCTATGCATATTATTTCAAGGATCGGCCGCACTAGTTATTGTGGCCTATATTTGAAAATTGCGAGTATATGTTGCATACAAGCAACACAGCCTCACGGTTTTGTTGGTTTTGGAGTGTGTGACATTTAAACGCATAAATACGAAAATTATTAAAAATATTTCTCCACGGGTTTATTTTCATTTTTATTCATTGTATCCTCTAATTGTTCAATTCTACTGTAAATATCATGGACATTCGTGGCATATTCGCAGGCCTTATCACTGTTGCTTTTAACCATGCTGAAATAATTATGGATGAAGCCCTTCATTTCGAACGATGTTTTGTAAAAATCATTCGTCCAGGATATAAGCCGATCTCTTACTACGATTCTCAATGTTTTCGTTTTTGATTTACCTGTCACATCAGCAAGAACGTCGACGATGACCAGGCATGAGACGCTATTATGAAAACGTTTCCATTCGTCACCTGAGGTTTCATCCTCTGTCCCACATACTTTCCCTCCAAAAAAGGATATCTAAAGTTCACATCTGATATGTCGGCATGTATGACAAAAATTTGCTGTAGACGTATGTCCTCTATGACCACAACCGCGGGAAAAAAATTTCGTCTGAAAAATGTCGGAACTGCGAGTTTCTTTTTTCAGCTGCGGGGTTTTCTGCGTGGAACGCAGGATTTCGCGTCATCATCGTTGTGCTCCCGAGCGCCTCGGCGAATTCAACTCCTTGAGTCGACGGAATTCGTCAGTTCATCCGAATGACATCGGTCAGGTCACATGGTGCGCTTCCGCAATGAAGTGATTAACTTCGTAACCCCGTCTGGAGGCGTGTGTGCGACTCTAAGATTCCCCGACCACGTCGGAAGATTCGTTTTTTAGGCTGTGGATGACTTCTCGTTTTTCACTTTGCGCCTGCGTTTCTGAATGAAGTAATGTGACCGCGAAGACGAGGTTTTGTGAGAAGAGATTTTTTGATTGCATGCACGTGTGTGTCGTGATCCGAAGTCATCGGGGAAATTGCGATTTATTTAACTTTTCAAGTTCGAACTGAACGCCGGTCCGAGATAACCGCGATGAAAGACCGCCGATGTGGCGCGAAATTTCACGGAAAAAAATATTATCTTGATCCAATCGGTAAAAGTTGAACAACTTTAAATAATGGAAGAATTTAGAGTACTGTACATTAAAAAATTTCGTTGGGTGACAGCATTGTTGACCGCTAAAGAAAGCGGACGGTTCAGACTGAAAACAGAGCTTTACTTTTAAAACGCAGTCAAACAAGATGAATATGAGAGATTTCTTTCAACTGAAACCTCTCAACAACGCTTTCCCTGTAGCAGTATTCTAAATAAAACAACGATACATTCCGGTCACCGGACCCACTAAACATGTTTCATGGCAATGACCGTGATATTTTCAGTAAAACGAATTATTTTCCCATCTCTTGAGTACATTTACACTTGAAGTGAGAAATCGTCAAGTTTCCTCCCATTACCTCATCTAATTTTTGAAGCCGCTGAAATTCTATTCCCTGTGTCCAACTTTCATCGCAGTCAACAGGGATCCTTGAATGATCCTCGAATTGATTGCTTAAAAGGAAGCTCTCTGACATGAATTTCACGCACAACAGAGCCTCCATTATTCGACTACATCGTTGGTAGCCAGATTATGAGAATAATTTCACGGTTAATCGAAAAAATAATCGCTTGAAAACGGAACAATTACCGAAATTCCTTAATTTTTTTTAGGCAGCAATACGATTTCAAATACCTCAATTATAACCGACAAGTTGAGGAAGATTATCAATGATCATGATAAAAATTATGTGATTCATTTCCAAAGGATGCCCATTGGTTCGAAAGTTTTTTAGCGGTTTGGGCCACTGTTAGTCGAATTCACTGCTAATCAAAATATGGTTTATGATTATGTAATGGTTCTCCTATTGGACGCACAGCATAAATTCGATCTAAAAGACTCAGCAGACCTGAAGTAATGCGTTGTGTCGATAGCATAGTATTTCAGAAGCTGTTTATCCATTAAAAGAAGCTCTTCCGGGACCGGAACTCATTCGCGTATGTAAAATATCGCTTTATACACAGTTGTTGTTGTTGTCGGAAAACTTCACCTGCATGTGTCTTCGGAGATGATCAATTATCACAAAAAAACATTACGATTTGGATGACGCACTTTCTGATGAAAACGATGGAACAACCGGAGTTCAACCTGCAGAGCACCTGTAAGATCAGCAGAAAACCCCCGGAAGGATTTCGCCTCAACCCTAGTAATGAGTGTGCAAAACGAGTTTCCGGTTGTTTCTCGATTTATTTATTTTTATTTTATTTTTTACTTGTGAAGTCCCTTTTTGGATAATGTTTGCATCCCAACCCCTGGACATTTTTTGTTTCTAAATTTATTTATAAAACACAGTACTCCGTATATAAAATATTTCTGTGGACTCGATTCTGGAGTCCATTGAGCATATTATACAGTACATTTCCTGTCATGATCAAACAGCAATCGATATCACAGCACTTCTGTTTATTATTCTTCCATTACTTAAACCTAGTTTCTCAGAATGGCTGCTGAGCCCCCGAGAATCCCAATCCGCTGGGCTCCGCGGAGCAACGATTGAGAATCTCAGCACTGCGGAAAAAATTGTTTCTTTTTAGAAATGCAAAAACTTCAATCATTGCCTACGAAGATGGAAATTTGTCGGCGAGCTACGCGTTTCATCGATTGTCACAGGGCGGGTGTCGATCTCCGGAACCGGTGCTTGCGGTCCGGACGCCGCTGAGAAATATCATGTTTCAGAGCCGAAGAAACGGAAGTTCCCCCGGCTTCCGCCGCGGGGGTTTTTAAGGTGATCGTCATCAGATGAGACAGTGGCGCTGGTTGTGCGACAGATGACGACGAATGCGCAGTTTCGATTCTTTTCGGCACGAAGCGCGGGCGGCCGTGACGGGGAGGGAGTGGCGTCGACGCGCGGGATGAGAAGGAGGCAATGGGCGGAACGAAGAGGTACGCCGAAGTCTGGCTTTTGCCAAGATCGAATATCTCTTTTGGCACAGAAGACCGCCGTCGAAGTCGCCGGCTTGACGCCGGGCTCGTCAGCCGCGCCGATGTCGGCGCAACAGTCCTGGTGTACCCGCGTAGGCTTCCGGTCGACGTTGTATTCTTCCCTGCTCCTGCTCTTGTGAACCCCAGTTTCCCTGAACCCAGTAGTAATAAAGGCAGAACATTCGGAAACATTTCGGATATTTTTAAAAGATTGGAAAAGTTTGCCATTTTTATCAGGCCAATTTTCCGCGCGGCGTGGCAAGTGGAAAAGTGGCAATATTTTCACAGGACTTCTCATATTTAGAATACATCATGCTCGTCGCATCATCTATCAGTGTTTACTTGAGAATACTGTGTGACGCGTTTGAATTGGAATTGTAAAATGTTCGCCTGCGAATATCCAAAGCACTGTCATTCCAATCAATTTCTTATAGATTAGATGGATTCATTTTTTAATCGTTCTTCAGTTTGAAGCTGAGAGTTCTCAAGCACTTCATAAGAGTTCATGCATTCGAAAGCATGTCTTTCAGATTAACATATTTTGACAAAACATTAGAAGCCTTAGTCGGAAACCCGTAAAAAATGTTGGTTGGAGAATATACACACCATATTCTCGCGATTATAGACCAGCCATATTTTGGACAATTATTAGCTGGGATACTCCTTTGCTAGCTACAAAAATTAGAAATTTTATAAGAGAACATGGGGTAAATCTTGACCATTTCCTTGAAGTACGGTAATTCGTTTAGCTTGTAGATGTAGGCCACGCATGTGGCACTGTATTTTGGGTTTCAATCGAAAATCTCGAGCATAGGCCGCACCGGAGTTTCATGCAGCTTCGCATTTGGGTGGTATAAAGTGCGGCCCACAATCGCCTAAATATAGGATAGCGCAAAAATTTATCATCGAACATAATATCGAAGTAGCACTTTCTTGGCTTTGTCGATATCAGGACCGATTTTCCCATTGAAAATCACCCCTGAGGGCTGTTGACTCGTTCTCGCGTTCTTGTGGGCTTTTTTATGAGGCGAAGATACTGGGAGTGGAGACATTTTCCGTTTTTTTCTTTCTCGCAAATTGAAATAATTTCTGAACAGTTGAGAAAAAACTAGAAGCCCCTGAGATCGGTGATTTAATCGAAGGATCGTGTGTGTTTTTGCAGTGTGTCTTCGGTTGAGACCGACGCGCTTCGTGTCTGAGGAATTGATAAGACATTTCCTGAGTCTGAGCGACAAAATTCTGCGACAGCGTTTTTCGGTGAGACGGACACCTGCATCGATTTGAACTCGGAGCGGTGATCGGCCACGCAAGCAGGATTGTTTGGTGAGTGGATATGCTTCTAGAAATTCCAGCAGCGTTGTTTTTACAGCATCTTCCGACGTCCATACGTTCTCGAATTTTGAGGGAAATTTAGCAGAGATCTAAATAAATAAATCTTTCTGGATGGTTTCCCAAAAAGCAGCGCCAGCGTCGGCGATAAGTTTGTGACAATTTTCGATGCTTAAAAGCCACAACGTGATGATCACAATATTTTCCCTATTTTTAAAAAGAGGTTCAAGAATCTGTCTTTCATATACGCGTAGATGTTTTCGGACGAAGTTCTATCCCGACAACTGTTCCTATACTGTACTGCCGAAAGAACTTGCAATAGCATCCGTTGTGCTGACTTGAAAGCTAATGAAATGTCCGAGCGAATCTTTCAAATATCTTATGCAGGAGTTCAGCAAGAAAACAAATGGCTTCGAAACCCTCCTTTATCCACCAACGAGTTTACAGGTGGTCCCTCTCTGCATCGATTTCCTTCTTAAACAACGATTTTATTTGCAAAAAAAATATATATATATCTTCCATCAGGTCTTTCACTCATAAGCAGCTTATTGATGAAGAAACTCTCTATATGCAAATTATTTTGCAATCCTTTGAGTATTTTTGTTGGAAGATCAACAGTATTTCCCCGTCGAATCGAGTCAATCGTTTAGTTGCGAGCAAAACATCACATTTTTGGCACACAATTACGACAATATGGCATTGTACTTCGGTTTCCCTGCGAAAATTACTCAAGAAAAGCTGCGCGAGGCTGTTTGATGATGAGATGTTTGTTCCAGTATTTTAAAACGAATTACAGTAGTTCATTTTCTCTATTTTTGGACAAAGTAATATAAAGGCACGTAGATGTCTGATACTGTGCAACTTGTTCGCGTGTGATACTGAAATTAATTACAATACATTTCTTGAAGGCATGGACACCGGAATGGTCTGTAATTTTGTGATTTTCATTACGAAGATGGCTTGATCCTTGTGGTTAGCTGGGGCTTTTTGATTTTGCACCCGAAGGCGCTTGCCCCTATTTTAGTTAACGATGCAGACAAGTTTCGAGTCTTCCAACCCTCTTTTAATCAACTCAAATTGCTTCGAGATGGAAGGCTATACGCCGTTGAAGTTCGTGAAGTATCTGCGAGCGACGTGGCTTGCGGGTTTAATTTTTGCTCCACTTGAATGAGCTTTTCCTGGGGAAGGGCTCCGCGTCCCTGGATCCCGTAATTGATTTCCGCGGAAAACCGCAATTAATGGGCTGGAAGTCAAAGCTCACTGATGAAGTCGGAGAAGCTTCTTCACCCACTCAGGCCTTCGTCTCGTGACAGAGTTTTCACAACAACACGTCGCTGCCGTGTGAGTTGACTGATGAAGTGTCTGCCAGTGCTTCGTTCCCGTCGCCGATGTTCTTGGGTACGTCTCCCGATTATCCCCCGCTGAGCTTCTCGAGGAAGAAGTGGGATTCACGGGAAACCGGGATCTACGCGGCTGCGACTTTCGATCCCGAAGCGAGAACATGATTGCGAACACTGACTGATCCGTGTTTCCTTCCTGTCGAAGATCCCGATCGCCATCCCCGGACTTACGACTTCCGCGAACTCCGAGCGAGTTGTTGGTTTACGCGTGCAACTACCTCGGGCTTCAATGAGAAGTTCTTGGGCTCGCGATTTTCCCTGATTAAAGTAAATGCCGAATTCCACTAGGTTTTTGATAGAATTTGAGCAACATTCTGGCGTCTTCCTGGTGTCCATCTGTTATTCAGAGACCGTGAAACGTATTGTACTTGGGTTTAGACGCAAGTTCGCGGTCACTCCTGGAATACCCAAGGTATCACATTTTTGTAAGCGTCCAAGTTCGAGAAAAATATGCACCGTAGTCAGAAAATTTGTTTATTTTCAAGCATGCCTTCTGTAGAATATTTTCTTCTCCTCTTGAATGATCTTTCAAAAACGGAAAATTGAACGCGAATATCAAGTCCTGTATCGTACGTGTTTCATATCCTTAGCGCTTTTCTCGCATGAAAGTCACACCGTGACTCAGCATCCGTGAATCAACATTCGATACTGAATGCGTACCAAGCTTTTCTGAAGTTCTCTTCTTCACAGGCTCCAGAAGTAACCCAATAAGTCCTGTTTTCATATATATAAGCTGGCAACTGTTTCGTTTAAAAAATGAGAAAATCTGTGACTGTCAGCAAAGTCTCGAATATCAACTCGGTCGAGGGAAAAATGCGACCGTTAATTTTCGTCTATTCCCACACAGTCTAGTAATGTGATTTACGGATAAGAAATTTTTCTAAAAGATGTGATGCTCAGGAAGTTGCTGCGCGTTAAAAAAAATTGTTCTCAAGAATGTTTAAAAGATTCGTAAAATTTGGATAATTATTGTTTTCTATTCATACACCCGCCGCTTTCTGTCCAAAAGCTGCTTTATTACGCATTCAATTATTTCACGAATTTGTTCTTTAATCCGTTGGTAATGATTTCAAAATTTCCAGAGTTGCAAACGAAAGTTTCTGAAGCTGATTTTTGGAACTTGTCAAGATTTTGCGGAATCCGTCGTGCATTAGAATGCATACAGGGTTGAAACTGACTGATGCTCACTTATTACGGGAGGTTCCTGTGAAAAAATAAGCGAAGAGTTTATATTAAAGCAATAAGTTCATAAATTATTAACTGCGAATAAAACGTCTATGCTTACAAGACGCAGTCACTTTCTACAGTTTTTCATTCATTTTGTCTGCTTCAAAGCAAGTTATTTTAGGGCATGGTTTTAAGTGGTATGCTCCAGATTTGATTGGATTAATGTCCCCTGTATGCAATGCGGAAGTGGTTTCCAGCATCTACGTGAAAGTAAAATTTTTTCTCATTTCTAGCGTTAGTGAAAAAATAACTTCAGAAAAGCTTGCATTTTATTCAGTGTCGCATGTTGATTCATGCATGCTGAGTCAGATTGATGTTGATGCGAGGACAACTCTAAAACTACCGCACATATGAAGCATTCAGTGTACCATTCTTCCGATTTATTGCTGATTGCTTAGCAGTTCGTCGATGATTCATTAATTTCTCTCATCAGTCGGAGAGAAAAACTTGCAAATTCGGACCGTATTTGATAGATCGTGGATTCGGGGGCTTTGACCGAAGCATTGTATCATTCACAATTTCGGAGGATAAAATGCGGCTAATACGGACATGAATACAAGCATTTAATTTGTGGGGAATGTCTGGTATATTCAAATGATATTCGGATTACCTGAGTTTCGCCGAAGTTCACGCACAACTAAAAGAGCAACATAACAACAAGAGTTTGCGACGGAAGAACCTCAATGGATGTTGTTCCCAATGCGGAACTTATAATTTTCCGCTATCTTTATTGTTTCACGCGATTCAGATTATAGGCCGCACTTCCTCGTAATTGCGACCCATCCTCAAGCATTGCATTTTTTTTCAATGTAATTGACAGACTGTAAACTGCTCCGCACATGGGAAGCGCGATCTTTTGAAAAGTTAATCGTATTCGTTATTTACTGAATTCTGGTCTGGTCAGTGAAACCATTCCTTAAGAAAAAACTGTTCCAAGATGATTTATTGGTGAAGACTGGGCTAAGTCTGAGCTTTAAGATGCCACGCGGAAACATCGACAGAAAGAAAGAAGAGGCGAGATTTCCCTTCGTGGCGCCTCCCGCGAAGTCCCATGCTGCAACTCTCGGAGCCTAATGATTGAGCCCCGACCTGTCGTCATCGCTGACGGACGAAATGTTCGCTGTCGAGGAGGCGCCCCCTTCGCTCTCCCGCAGGCCTTAGGTCCCTCGACGCCGCAGTTTTTCCACCAGCTGGCTAATTAAAGTTCCTCGCGGCGCCTCCCGACGCATCACTTGGCGCATCACCTGCGCCCGGCTGCTGCCATTCGACTACGAAGATTTTCTCATTGCCACGTCAAATTTATCTACCGTGGCCTTGATTCGGAAGAGCAAACCGTGATTCGCATCAAATTGATGGAGGGAAGCGGCGGTTTTTCCTGGAACGTTTCTAGCGAAATGAACGAGTAGATCAAAAGCAGCGACGTGCTCGCTCGGAAGTTCCCTCTTTGCTGCGTCGATCCACTTTGCCTGGAACTGCGCTTAAATGACGTGTCTACCGACAACCGACTCGTAAAAAATAAAACGATTCAGATCGAAGCGCTGATTTCCAGCCGCATCCTCTTGATTAGAAAACTGAAATAGCTCGGTTTACTGCGAGGAAAACAAACAACGAAGACGTGACCGATGCTTTGATCATCAAGCTGACGGTGGAAAATGAGATTTCCATCACCTCTCAAAGTGTTGTTCCAAAATTGACCCTTCGGGAGAAGCTGGTCCGGTAAAAGCAATATTTGTGCATTACGTTCAAACCGTGTTTATGTGCAGCATCTTTCTCGTAGCCGAACATTTTCGGAACCTACTTTAATCCCATTTAGATTTTTAGTTCTTCGAATTGTTTCGACATTCTTCACGAGGTTGCTTTGAATCTCACTTCTAATTGCATTCAGGATTTTTTTCGGCAAAAATAAATTGATTTGCAGCTGTCTGTCCGTGGTTTTTGCGTTTGATAACGAGATTTCAAATCTGAAGGAACTAGTTGAGTGTGCCAGAGTTTACCTGCGTTGGGTGAAACTGTCTGCTTGAAGTTCGATTCCTGGGAAAGCACGGTTCTCTTCTGTCACCTCCATCTTTCATGGAATTCCTGAAATCGAAATAATAAAAATATATCTAAGATTTTATAAAGCAAGCCATATTTATTTTCTTGAACCTAAAGGCATTGAAAAAAGAAAGACTCAACTTGCTGCGTTCTATGCCTGAGACACTATTTGGCAAACCCTAGTTCGTCGCCGCAACTCAAGCCCCCGCTTTCTGAGCAATAAAAACTTATCCTGTAATTTACTGTACAGTACTTATTAGTATCTAATTAAAGCAATTGTTTCAAATGCAATAAAAACGAAAAACCGAATCGTGGAACGATCTGGCATTTCAA